TGTCTGCTCTTTTTGCTCAGTAACACCTGCTGGCTCGTGCTAACTGACATCATCCATCTGATTCCATTACTTGGAACAAGGGAGTAGTCACCCAAAATTACGTAAACGACCTTCTTCAAAATGTTCGGCATTGTCGATGCATTCCTTAATTAATGTGAACCGATAGGGAGTTCAAAGGCGTTTGCCTATATTTCCCTTAGCAAATTGACTTGACTTGACTGAAAGCGAAAATATCCCTCCCAACTATGGCTTAGATAGCGGTCTAAATATTTATAATGTATCTTTCGCCGAAGCGACTGTTCGTCAGGAGTTGTTGGCACAAAATGAGTTAAAATGACAAATAAATAAATTGTATATTTAAGGCCCAAGGGGCCCTTTCATTACAAACTTAGTGCTATCGTTAAAAGTAAAAAAATACGAAATTGGTAATCGCAGCTGCGCGTAAGCAACTGTATTACAACGGGAATAAGTTGTATGTTACGCATGGTAAGATAGTAAGTTATATCCAATTAACAATGAACTCTCTTATAAAATAATAGTCTGGGCAGTAAGAAAACTCCTAAATCGGTGGCTGAGTTCAGAAAGCCACCGCTTTCCAAAAAATTGGAGAAAAAACTGCCTTAATAATTAGCAAGTTATGACGTGATGCAGTTAGATGGGATCCTGCTTTTGAGTGTTCGGGACGCTTATTGTCGTGGGAAAAATAATATAGCATCATGACGGTGAGATAAGAGGGGACAACGGGGTCGAAACGAGGAGGGGACAGTAGAAGTCACGGCAAAATCACCGAGATGCGACCCACCAGACTGCAGAGTCCACCGACAAGTTGGCGACAACGTAAGAACACGCGATGACCATCAATAGCGATCTCGAAGACCACCGCCAAGATTGTAAAACGGAGAAGAGTTTGCAGCATTTGGAAATGATGCTTAACTCAGACTGTAGTGTACACCGGCAAGTTGGCGACAACGTAAGAGCCCGCAATGATCATAAATAGCGGCCTCGAAAACCACTGCCAGGGTTGCACAACTCGGAAGCGTTCGCAGCATTTGGAAGTGATGCTTGACTCTGCAGAGGAAAATGTTAACATATTTAGAGGCCACTTTACTATCATGGGAAGAGCTTCAAATGCCAGGAGGACGCTTTTCGAAATCTACACGTTGCGCGTTTGTAAAGGAAACAGATAGTAACGACTTTATTTCCTCCAACTTTAAATTTTTACGTAATTTGCCTTTGAAAATCTGTAATGTAGAAGACAACCTAATTTCGAATGGAAGATTGTTCCAAATAAAGGCACATTTGGAGGCAAAAACGAGAACGGTTAGATGTGGAGCTAAGGGGAGTTACGAGTGGCGTAAGGTCGGTTTACCGGAATAAAAGGGTTGATTTGTGGGAGCTTAGGACTATTGTTAACGCGAAACAGAAGGTATATACCAGCTTCGAGTCTTCTTACCCAAATAAATTTAATGTTTGTTAACTGACATCTATCTGTATAAGAAATACTGGATCCAGAAAGAGAAAATAGCTTACCGAAGGAGCTCACGTAGGAGTTAGCTAAATTGCCTTCTAGGCTTCTCCATACCTCGTTTGAACCTGGCTGTTTACCCGCCGATTGGAAATCTGCATGGATCATACTGTTGTATAAAGGGGGTAGAACGGATCCTGCAAACAATTACAAACCAATCAGTCTCACTTCGATCCGCTGCAAAATTATGGGAAAAGTAGCTAAATGAGAGTTGATATGCTTCTTAGGGCGGCATAACTTTTTATCAAGTGCGCAGCGTGGATTCCATAGAGGCAGGTCCTGCATGGCAAACTTGCTCTATTGTCTGGAACTTTGGACTCAGATAGTTGATGAAGGAAATACGCTTCTTGTAGTCTATATTGACTTCAAGAAGGCATTCAGTTTTATCTCACCTCAACGACTCCTCCACAAACGAAGCCGATTGGACAGTGGAGGAACTCTGAAGTGGATTCGAAGCTTCCCACTTGGCCGCTCTCAAGCTGTCCGTGTCGGTGACCAGCAGTCAGCAGCGGTTGCAGTTGAGAACCGTGTTCCCGAAGGTTCTGCTTCTGGGGCTACAATGTTTATTATTCACGTCAACGACTGCGTACGTGAACTGGATTGTGACATCGCTATGTTTTCCGATGATATTAAGAATTGGAGTGTCATCAAAAAGGCAGCTGACAAAGAGCATTTGCTGGCAGACCCAAACCGATTTCAAACTTGGTCGAAGGACTGGCTTTTGCCGTTGAATGAGGACAAGTACAGTATCCTACGAGTTGGCCGACCCAGCTTTCATAATCTCATGGTTTACTGCCTGAATGGCGTCCAACCGCAAGAAGTGGACGCGCAGAAATACTTAAGAATGTGAATCACGACGTCGTTTAAGCCCTCGCTGCACTACCCAAAAGTAGCCAAGTCTGCTATGTCCATCCTGTTCATTGTCAAAGGTGTTTTCTCTGCCTTTGAAGGCTGCTTCGCTAAGGTCTTTGGAACAATTGTGCGACCGAAACTATAGTTCGCTATCCAAGCATGGAGACATTGGACCGCGAAAGACCTCAATACTCTTGAACATATTAAAAAGCGTGCAACAAAACTTTTGGCCGAACAGGGCTCACTAACCAATGAAGCACGTTTGTATAGTCTTGATCAGCTTCCTCTGAGTTAGAGGCAGCTACGTGTTTACCTGATACAAACATTTTATATCACACACGGTCAGGACTGTTGCCTACTACCTGGCGACTTCTTCCCGTTAGCAACAACTACGAACTTGAGATGTCATCCACTCAAATTACGTGTTCTGCGGGCTAGGTTGGACATACGAAAGTTGTTCTGTTGTAACAGAGTGGTCGAAGCTTGGAATGCTCTGTCCCTGGATGCAGTTATCTCCGCTTCCATTGGAGTCTTTAAGACGAAGCTAGATTTTTATAGCGATGTACACTCTAAAAGCAGCCGACCTCTGTATTCTTATCACAGACGAAACAATATCTCATCCTTATAGTAGTACTTGCTACTTTTGAGTAACATGGCAAAACTGTCTTGGGAGGCCCCATAAAAATAAACTTCCACCGCCCAAATGTCTTTCGGAATTTGTGGTTAAATGTTAAATACTCGATTAAGGAGTGTAAATGCATGTTAAAGTGTGTGAAAATAAAACAAGGGAAAGCAAATATAGGTGACTTATCATTGTTTTAGTGAGCTAAATATAATCAGCTCGACCAACATAAACTCTTGCGGCTTAGGCTACTGATGCCTATTGACCAATAAGGATAGTAGACAATGAACGGCAATCAGTCATTGTGATTTACTTTGACCTTAGTAAAGCTTTTG